GAAGGAAGGAAGGAAGAAAGAAAGAAAGAAAGAAAGAAAGAAAGAAAGAAAGAAAGAAAGAAAGAAAGAAAGAAAGAAAGAAAGAAAGGAAGGAAAGGCCGTAGAATCTTCATGACACAAAAGATCAAACTCACATACTGAGCCTTTGTTTGTTTGTTTGTTTGTTTGTTTTGTTTTGTTTTGTTTTGCAAGACAGGATTTCCCTGTGTAACCCTGGCTGTCCTGCAATTCACTCCATAGACCAGGCTGACCTCGAACTCACAGAGATCCGCCTGCCTCTGCTTCCTGAGTGCTGGGAGTAAAGGTGCGTGCCACCACTGCCGAGCCCTGAGCCTTCATATTTGATGGGTCAAGACTCCGATACAGGCCACTTGTGGCTTCTTTTTGTTTCAAAGTTACCATTTTTGGAGAAACCGTGCACATACACTCTGTGCTGAAAGAGCCTTTGTCTCTGGGCCAGAGGTGTTGAGTTCAACTTGACATTGAGTCTTTCTGCCAGGAAGCTCGTGTCTCAGATCTGTTTGCATGTTTGATTCATCGGGAGCCTCGGCAGAAGGAGAACATCTGAAAGACTCCGTCAGAGGTGTTCCCCCCTCCTGCCCCGACACAGGATGTAGGACAGGTGCCTCAGTCCAGAACTCACATCTCAGGAGTTCTCCTGCTTCCCTGGGAGAGCGGCAGCTGGGGGCTCCCTCTCACTTCCGTCCTGTGAAGGACTGACTCCCTGCAGCTGCCGCTCCCCAGGGCTGATCTAATATGTCCTGTTCTCTCCGGAGTTGACTCCTCATTACTCTTCTCTTGGACTTTCAATTTCTACTGTCATTCCTGCTTATTCCTGCCCGGTAAGGTGAGGCAGGAAGCAGAAACCGGGGCTGGCTTTCTGTTCCTTGCTGCCTAGTGCTCACAGAGCGTTTTCTTTACATGTATACATTGTAAGTATGGCTGCTCTCCTGCTTAGCGACAGGTTAGAAGAGACACTTTAAGACTGTAATGCTCACTGATGGCTTCTTTCTTTCTTTCTATTTATTTATTACGTGGGGTTTTTTGTTTTGTTTTGTTTTGTTGTTTTGCTTTTTGTTTGTTTGGCAGGGTTTCCCCATGTCGCTCTGGCTGTCCTGGAACTCACTCTGTAGCCCAGGCTGGCCTCGAATTCAGAGATCCACCTGCCTCTGCCTCCCGAGTGCTGGGATTAAAGGCGTGCGCCGCCACACTCAGCTGGTTGTTCCTTTCTAAATGTTAAAGTTTCAAATCTTGCTGCTTTTGTGCTTCTCTTTCTTCTATATTGCATATTGAGGGGAAGAAAATCTCCAAAATGTAGTGTGGTCCTGAGTGGAAAAGGACTAAGAGAGCTGGCGTTTGCAGGAGGAAAGTGGACAAGACCTGCTTCACCCTCGGGACCAGCCAGCCTGGCGGAACTGGGAATTCTCCCCGCCTCAGGCTGAGAGCTGCTTCAGACTGCTGCCCAGAGCAAGTCCAGTATTAATCTTGTGGGAAATTAGCTCCCATTGCTTCAAACCACTTACATTTCTCAACCTGTGCGGCAAACAGGGGAATATGAATTAACTTTATTTGGACCATCACAGCCACAGACTCGATCCCAGCGTGCATGGCTGATTTCTCCGGACACAGCACATTAGCTGGCTTTGTTTGTTTGTTCAAGAGATTCGGGCGTATTATGTAAGGTGACAGGAAGATCAAAGGTGCCTTTGGAGGGAGAGTGAAGTAGAAGCCTGCAGCTCCAGATCCCCTGCTTCTCAAAATTCCTAAAATACCCAGCCCCCTCTCAGGTAGCTGGCCTTCATTCCTGGGGCCCACGGCCTTTTCAAGGTCTGTAGTGAACGTGTGAAGTTGTGTTCAGGCACGCACCGACGCGTGCTAATGTTCGTCTCCCTCTGGAGTTCTCCCTGTCCAATCTGCCCCCACGTGGCTTCTGTCACACTCTCTGCTGTGTAGGAGTCCCTGGGAGGCGCGTTCTGCTCTGCTGAGGATAATGGTTTTCAGTGAGTGTCTGGCTTGTTCTGGCATGTGGTGGTGTGAGCCGATGGCAGAAGCAGGGCAGCTTCTCACCTCAGTCAGAACAGTGCCATTCCCCATCACCAGGAGTGCCTTGTCTCTCCTGACCAGGGCTGGTGGTAATTGGATAGCTTTGCCGTGAGCAGTCACTTCAGGCAGCCTTAGAACTGGGATGTAGGAGATGCACTGACGGCACATCCCTACAAATCACACTGATGTCTCTGCGGTGTGGTGCTTCTGTTACCAGCCCCCTGGGAAGAAGGCCTGAGATCAGTGTAATTTGGCGGCTGCTCCTGGTGCTGCTCAGTGATCTGTGTTGCCCGTCTGCACGCCTCAGGCCACACCATGTTTCTCTCCCCTGGGCCCCTTCTCGTTGGGATCTGGATGAGATCTCAGCGAGTGCTTTGTAGATGGCTGCTGTTAATGTGGCTTACTGATTCCTCTTGCCCAATTAAGGTGGATGTCTCTGAGCCTCTGTGAAGGACAAGCAGCTGAAATGTCATTTCCAGCTAAGTTTCCACTTGCCACTTTTTAAGCAAAACAAACTCACCAGCAGGACCATCTAAACCTCAGACATCAGAACGCTTGAGGGAAGGGTTTTTAGCTGTGAGGACTTAGGTTTCCAGATTTCTTCAGCTGAGTCATCTGGCTGAGGGAGAAGAGCCAATAAGCCACCTTCGGTGGCAGGCCCATCTCTAGGAAACCAGGGCCAGGCCTAGCTGGGCAGGAGCTCTGCTGGAAAGCCGCGGGCTCCAACTGTGCACCTCTGGGGCCAGCAGAATGCAGCTCCAGGAGACCCCAGAGGCTCCAAAGTGCTTTGTCTCCACCCCCCTCTCTCCACATGCCTGTCTCTTTTCTTTCTTCAAATACAAATTCCTCTCCTCTGTCAAGCACATCTTAAAGTGACGCAGTGTGGCTGCTGCCTTGCTCTCGGTTTTCTGTGTTAATATTTCTGCCACGTGGTCAGATGACTGTCTCTTGTCCTGCTCCAGATCCTTATAGGAAAGGTCTGGATTTAGGTGAGATGTCTACCCTATCATCCATAAGTACCAAGAGAGAGTCACCCTGTACAAACAAAGCTGCTCACAGCACACCCCCAGGGACAGGGACAGTTAGATCTTGTGGCCTAGAATTTCTTGTTATACAGACTTGGAACACCCAAAGATTTCCCACCCTGGAAAATCAGGTCAGAGTCATGGTGAAATTATATGATTTATTGATTGATTCGCTTTATTTATAACAAGCCCTTTTGTTTTGTATGTTTTGTGGTTTTAAGTTCTTCTTGATATTGTAAGGAACAGCACCCTTTTTGGTTCACTTAAAATAGCAATGCCAGAGGCATTAGATGATCATCCAGTGTCCATCATCCAGTGTCCAGATAGACACTTGTCTGGTGCCTTTAAAAGAGGTAGCTGTGCAAATTCTTTATTAAAAAGTCTAGGTATAGAAACATGGCAGCCATTCTTCAGGGACCCACCAAGCTGTTCTATCTGAATCACTCCTCAGTAGCTTAGATGCCTGAACTTGGATTATTGGCCCACTGTAGGCCTACCCCAAACCAGTCAAAATATAACGAGGAATTTCCATTTTCAGAAGTGGTCCGGAACTCAGTTGCATAACTCTGGGACACTCCTTGATAACTGTCTTCTACTTGGTGTACCTAGCTGCTCGATCACAGGCCTTGGGCATAAAAGGTCGGTGACACCTCATTTCTTGAATCTCCCCCCATCTTTAAAGACTGAGAGAAGATTCATCAGTTTCTCTCCTGCACTGCCCACTGCCATGTACATCCTATGGGAGAGAACTGAGGCTCTGAGAAGTGACCTCGAGCTTGTGACCTGTCATAGCCATGGCAGGTCATAATAGTGACCGACCCTCTCAGTGCCTTGCCGACTCCTCTTCTGCACAGCCCTGTGGGAGAAAGAGTGAGTAGAAAGCTGTGTCTCTGGAGCCCAGGCAAGCTCTCTTCCCCTTGCGTCCCCTCGAGGGAAGGCTGCGCTGTAAGAAGGCCCAGGCCTCTGTACACTTTCCCCCGAGATGCCTTTCTTTTTATCTCTATTATTCACTCTTTCAGTAAAAATTTATTAAACCACCTGTTTTGTGCCAGATTCTAGAGTAGGCATTGCTACTATTGGACTCAGGAAGAAAATTCTGTTGGGCTTAACTCTTAGATAGTCACTTGTAAAATACAGGGGTCCAAAAAGCATGCCCAAGCACCCATTAGCTCATCATCACATGGGGTTAGCCCTGTGATGGACATCATCCCAGCCAAGTCCTTTGAGGGGGCACTAGATATAAAAATGATGATACGTGACACATGATCTGTGTCATGTCCTGCATTAGATATTTTTTATATTTGTTATTTTACTTAAATGTCATGACAATTCAATGAAATTGGTATTGCAAATCTTTATAGATGAATAAATTGAGGCTCAGACAATAATAATTAACCTCATTCACCGTGCACCAGCTGCTCTGTTAAGTATGAAACATGCTCAATCCTCACCGCGGTCTGGTAGTCAGCTGCGACCGTCTCTTTATTTACTCATTTATTTCTGGTGGGGTTGAGGATGGAAACCAGGGCCTTCCCCGTGCTCGTCAAATGCTCTGACATCAACACAGCCTCATTCTAATTATCCTTTTAAAGGTAGAATGCCGAGAGCCCAGAGGGTCAGTTGTAGCGCTCAGATGACACATGTAAGTGGCACACCTTGACTAGGATTAGTGATGAGCCACCCGACCAGGGCCAGCAAAGCTCACGTCAGCTGTCTCTGGAATGCCAACCTTGTTTTCTTCCCATCAAAAGCTGATCCCTGAGGCCTGTGTGTGGAGACTCAGTCTCCTCTTGCTCATCTTGTACACTGCAGGAGTGTCCGTGTTCTGTGGGCCATGTCCTATGGTCGTCTGCCGTGGGGCATGCTGAGGATTGCCACACATAGACTCTTGGCTCAAGCACTGTAAACTTGTAACTATATTCTTATGTGTCTCCCATCACTGACATCTCCCTGTACAGTGTGGGAGTGGCTGTTGTCAACTTTAAAGTGGAACCCATTGCCTCACACTTTAAACCTCAACTTCCGACTGGTATAACACAACTCCTTGGGAGGCATGTACCAGATGTTCACAAAACGTTGAATTCAATTCCCAGCACCAACCACAAAAGTAAAATAAAATAAAACCTTACATTAAAATGAGTTACAAGTGTTTTGTTTTTCATGTAGAACACAAGAAAGATTACTGCAGCAAGCAGGACTTGTACTTTTTAATGGAAAGGCAAACTGTAAATACTGTATTGATAACACTTAATCTTTTCAATACATTGGCGTTTCCAGAGGTCTTCAGAAAAGATATTGTACCTTCTTGCTTCTCACTGACTTACAAACTGTTCAGTGGTTCCCTTTCCAACTTGGGAACCTCCTTAGTCCCTGGTCCTTTTTTATTTGTTTACTCAGCAAATATTGATTGTGAGTTAGACGCTATGTTACAGCTGTGGAGGAGACAGACAGAAAATGAGTTATAACCCTGGCAGGTGGTACAGGGAGACGAGAAGGCTCTGCCCAAGCAATAGCAATGGTTGGAGAGGGAGACGAGCTGGGGAGCCAGGGAGGGCTTCTTGGGGCTCTCACTGAGACCAGAAGGGGAAGGAGGAGGTAGGTGGGGAGGGCGAGAGCAGGAATTGAGCCTCTGGGAGGAGGGACCAGCCTGTGGGAAGGCCCTGGGGAGAGGGAAGTGCATCCAGGGAGGAAGGAGCCACATGCTAGTAGAAGCAGCTTCTTTCAGTTCTTCTGAAAAGGATTATTGACTTAGAAATGGATCCTTCTGGAAACTGATAATTCTACCTACTCATTCTGTGTGTCAAGATCAGTGGCCGTATTTCAAGGGGGTGCTGTGGGACAGTTGGAGGTAGGACTAATTTGGGGGAGGGCTGGGGAAGTAGGGAGGACTTGAGTTGACTCCGGTTTGGGGGGGCTCTGTCTCTTCAGGCCTGAAGACAATCGTGGGTGCCCTCATTCAGTCTGTGAAGAAGCTGTCCGATGTGATGATCTTGACTGTGTTCTGCCTGAGCGTGTTCGCCCTGATTGGCCTGCAGCTGTTCATGGGGAACCTTCGAAACAAGTGTGTGGTGTGGCCCATAAACTTCAATGAGAGCTACCTTGAAAATGGCACCCGAGGCTTTGACTGGGAAGAGTATATCAACAATAAAAGTAGGTGTTCCCTGCACTGCAGGAGGGAAGCTTGACCCACGTTACTTGTCAGGAGCCACTGCCCAGCTACACAAAGTGGCCCGGCCCAGAAAGGCTCAGCACTGCCTCTCGGCCTGAGAAGCCATTCCCCTTGTCCAAGGCGGGACTGTGCAGATGCTCTCAACTCCTTCGTTATTATTATTATTTTTAATTTTATTTTGAGACAGGGCCTCACTATGTAGCCCTGGCTATCCTGGAGCTCACTGTGTAGACCAGGCTGGCCTTGAACTCACAGAGATCTGCCTGCCTCTGCCTTCCAAGTGCTGGTGTTCACCCCTACACCTGACTAAGCTTCAGTCCTTGGAAACCAAGTGAACACTTAAACTGTCTTCACATGCACCCATAAACTTGTGCTTTAGAAGTCATGTCTAGACTCTCAGTAAGCTGCTTTTCGTTGCTGGGTTACCTGGAACAGTCAGTCACGCGTTCAGTCTAGACTATGCTTAGGAACCAAAGCTCCTTAATGCCAGCAAGAGCTTTGCAGTCAGGTGATCTCTGAGATACTATTTGATCTTACTACAGTTAAGGAGCTTGAATAACTTCATTTGAGGAATCAAATCACTGTGGGGTCTTGCATTAAAGAGAATTTGGTGTAACGATAGTTCTATTAACAACAACAAAAAAAGCAGTATCACCACTAGTCATCACACGAGAGAAATCAAATCAATTAAGTAGCCTCAAGAAAGTGTTGCAAAGGAGATCTCAGGGGCAGAGCCTTCTGATTTAAAGTAGGACATGGCAACTTATGTCTAGTACAGAATTTTAGAACATCTTGGTAAAAATATTACAAGGATAAAAGGGTGAAGTTATATAAAGGGATGAAGATCTCAGAAGCTTACTTTAGACTGGTGGTTCTCAACCTGTGGGTAGAGACCCATTTGGGGGTCACATATCTTTGGATGGAAGTTTCTGTCCCACCTGGGACCATATCCTGCTTCTCAGATATTTACATTAGGATTCATAGCAGTAGCAAAATTACAGTTATGAAGTAGCAACAAAATAATTTTATGGTTGGGGGTCACCACAACATGAGGAGTTGTATGAATGGGTTGCAGCTTCAGGAAGGTTGAGAACCACTGACTTAGACCCTGTAATCCAAGTTGCATACCGAGCTGAAATACCAGGGAGCCAAGTGCCTGCGAATGCAGTTTCTCCTCGAGGGCGCTCAGGGTAGCTCTGCTGTAGATGTATTCAGGAGGTCATTAATGGGAGGGATTCTCATCAGCTTTCTGCTGCTGGGAAAGATTTATATGAGCTAAAATCAATAGCTGCTCGTGCTGGCAGGCTAGGGACCGTGTAACCTTATTCTCTCATTCCCTGGAATCTGCCTATTCATTTCCTGCCTCTTCCAACTTTTCTAGCAAATTTTTACACGGTTCCTGGCATGCTAGAGCCCTTGCTCTGTGGGAACAGTTCCGATGCTGGGTAAGTAGCTCACCTGATGTTCTTCTTCATTAATGTGCCTAGTATGAGTTGGGTCTAAATGACCAATAGCCTCACTTTCTTTATGCTCTCATACTGTGGGTCCTACACATGGGTCTGACCTATCGGCTGACTCAGATTTTCTTTCTGTTTCATATTTGACCATTCAGAGTTGACATTTCACTAGAAGGTGAATGCACCAGTAATTTCAAACTACACAACAGTCAAAGATGTGGAAAGATAGGGAAACTCTGTAGCACCAAATAGCTTGCCTGCCTCTTGTGGACCCTCTCATCCTCTAGTCACACAGTTGTTACAATATGGAACAAGGACACTGTCTTGGTGAGAGTTCAACATCCAAGGACAACCCAGAGCACACGAGATCTAAGAATGGTGCCCAGCCATCCGAGCTAGTCAAGTCTCCGTTTCCTCCTCCGTGACAGAGATCTAATGAGCTGTGCTCTCTTCCTCACAGGGTTGCTGTAAGGGCCTGTTAGAGTCTATCCACACAGCTACTCTGGACACACATGTAGGGTGGCGATGGCCCACTCAGTGCATTGGTCCCCTGGGTACCGCCTGCTGTTTTAATGTGACCCAGACAACCAGAAGTCGTGTTAAGTTCTCTATTGAAGTAGATACTAGAAATTACATTAAAAGAGACATCAGATGAGTCCAAAAGCAGAAGAAATATAATTGATATCATTTATTTATATTTATATCATTAATCCCCATTTCCTGTGCTAAAACAGACAACCAAGAAGACCTGAGCTTAACTTAAGTATTTGTCATTGACAGTAGTTGCTGATTTGAATTAATGATTAATCAGTTAATAATTTGATTGAAATTATACATTGATATGGATCTGTGATATCATAAGGCAGTGGTTCTTATGCTTGTCCCACATGCAGCCATCTGACCTGTCTCTAAAGTCACGTCCGTGGGCTCCACCCACTGAACTTCAGCAGCTAGGTGTACGCAGATCTCAGCATCTGCATCCTTGAAGACCGCAGGGTTACTCGATTCTAGGCCTTCCCAGACGTTGAATAGCTGTTCTTTTCTCCCCTTTCTTTTTCCTCCTCCTCTTCTTCCTCTCCCCCTCTCTCCCTCCCCTCCTTTCTCTCTCCCTCTCCTTATTTTTCTTCCAATTTTGTTCTCCTGGCTATAAAGGTGGCTATTTCTATCTTCAAGGGCATGGAATAGATGGGTTTGTGTAATCTGTTATCTCTTGATAATAGACTTGGCAGGATAATTTTGAAAGTTCCTAAACTTTCTTTCTGTCTCATTGTGTGTGTGTGTGTGTGTGTGTGTGTGTGTGTGTGTGTGTGTGTGTGTTTTGCCAGGAATAAAATTGAGGGACTTGGAGTTACTAGGTTAGTACTCCTCCACTGAGCCGGGTCCCCATCCCATTGTACACCCATTTCTTTCTTCAGACAATGCCCGGAGGGATACCAGTGTATGAAAGCAGGAAGGAACCCCAACTATGGTTACACGAGCTTTGATACTTTCAGCTGGGCCTTCTTGGCATTATTTCGCCTTATGACCCAGGACTATTGGGAGAATTTATACCAGTTGGTAAGTAATACCTCTTTTTCTTTAGTGATGAAGTCCGTATGAGGATATGATGAGTTGGGGACATCCATCACACAGCAGGATGGATGAATTCACCCAGCTCTCAGCCCAGTTTCTGGAATGTGTAGTCGCGGTCCACTGTAGCTGACACCTGACAGCCTCAGGCCAGCCTGGAGGCTTGCAGCCTGCTGCTCCCCCTCACTCTCTGTCTACTAGGGTTTCGGTGTCAGAGCATCTAAGAAATAGCAGACACTCGTTTGTACAAGGCACCTTCCAGTATTAAAATGATGGGATTTCTATCCATGGGATCTTGAAGTATGACTTAGAGCGCTAATTTTGGACTTGTCTAGGTACGTGGTGTGAGTGAGATTAAGGCTGGTCCCCAAACTGTTGGGCCACACTGATGACTTCAGGTGTCTTGTACACAAGTCACAATAAGGAAATTAGTGTTGCTGATGATTCCATGACAATCCATTGTTTTCTCTTTGACTGTGGTATTTGATGTTGCTGGTTAGTTAGAGAATAAAAAGTAAATCTCGGGGTTGGGGATTTAGCTCAGTGGTAGAGCTCAAGGCCCTGGGTTCGGTCCTCAGCTGGGGGGGGGGGGCGGATCTCTCCTTGCAAAAATAACCTCTTTATGAGAGGCTTCTAGTTCCAATCCAAAGTCAGTTCTTACTGTTGGGCACAATAGACACCAGATACCATTCAATCCTTGCTAACTGGAAGAAAAACGGTGAGCTAACTAAGCCTGTGATGTGGGTCTGTGGTCCTGGCAGTCAGGAGACAAGGGCAGGAGGATCACCACGAGTTTAAACCAGTCTGATTTACATAGCAAGTCCTATGCCAACCAGGGCTACATTGTGAGACCTTGTCTAAGGTAGACAGACAGACAGACAGACAGACTATTTTTCTATGAAATCAAACTGCAGGGGATATTTTCTCCACAGTGGAAGTGAGGGTTAACCATCAGGCGGGCATCTGACCACTGGGATATGGGATGGGTGCAGAATGCCGTGCAAGGCAGCTCTGCCCTACCCAGCCAGCAGTGGTCCCTGCTGGAGCTGGGCTCACGGTGTGTTTTCATCCTGCTTCATTCCATGGAAATAACCGAGAAGGCGGCCTTTGTCTTTCAGACCTTACGAGCAGCTGGGAAAACGTACATGATCTTCTTTGTCCTGGTCATCTTTGTGGGTTCCTTCTACTTGGTGAACTTGATCTTGGCTGTGGTGGCCATGGCTTATGAAGAGCAGAACCAGGCCACATTGGAAGAGGCCGAGCAGAAAGAAGCTGAGTTCAAAGCAATGTTGGAGCAGCTCAAGAAGCAGCAGGAAGAGGCCCAGGTGAGTGAGGGGCGCTGTGCAGCGGCCTTTTCCGGATGTCGGTGCTGAGCTCCGGTGACTGCCACTGCAGCTGCTCTTTATTGACAAGTTCAGCTCAGCATTCGGGGTCTGTGATGATTGGGAGAGAGGAGAGGAGTTAGTGCAGGAGACAGTGAGTAGTTAGTGCAGGAGACAGGTGAGTAGTTAGTGCAGGAGACAG